AGGGCCTAGATTTAAAAAGTCATTAGGTGCCTGTGTACAACAATGTGAATATACAATGTGAACACTGCTAAACTGTACACCAAAAATGGTTAAGAGTTAAGTTTTATGTTATTTAAGTTTTATACATTCAGTAAAAAGTAATCCCAATCTTTTCATTGGTATCTATCAAAGGATCAGAGAAAGTTGTCACAACTAAGCCTGAGCAGACTGCTGAAATGAAAGCACGTAACTTTGGGACACTTTTCTTCTCTCATTCATCTTATCCACAAGACCAAATATTCACATGCAGATTTTTTGCTTTTACATGATTTATGTAGCAGGGCCCTACTCTTCTTCACCTTTACTAAAACCTTTGATGTATTGTTATCAGCATCCTCTCCCCTAATCAAAAATTATTGTTCTGTGGTCAAGGTTCTTCTCAGTTAACTGTTGTAAGAGAAGGTGTGACTCCTTGATAAGAGCAAAATTTATTACCTCTCCAAGAACATTTGCATTTTAATAAAAAAGCTTAACCTAAATGAGTGGATAACTAATGATGAAACTGAAGATACAGGGACAAACCAGAGAGAAGAGTTATTTTCTGTACTCCCATTTCCTACAGTATTGAAAACAGTAAGAAAGGCAAGAAAAAATTATTTTTCTGCTGAAGTAGTCAATGTACAAAGAAATGGCAAACCATACTTGCTTCTTCTGGAGAGTAAAAATAAATTGAGAGGAAGAGTGTTAAAGGATACAGGATTGTTATTTATAAAATAACAAAATATTAAAAATTAAAAAATATGATTGCAATAGTGATTGTGTTTCTGTGTGGGTAGAGTTGAGTTCAGAGGGTGAAGGGGGGTCATAAAAACATAAAGTGGCTGGATTATAGTGTGTTTCCACAATATAGCACGAACACAAAGGTAAATCTCAATGTTGTGGGGATGATATTCTGATATATTTATAAATTTGCCTATATTTGATAATACTTATTAGATTTTTTTTCCTTATAGATTTTGTGATATCAGAATATACTTGAGGGAACAAAGTTGCGTTGAAAGTCAGAAAGAATTTACACAAAAGAGGTGATAAAAATTTTCTCAGAATAAAGTGAAAACATGGCAACACTCACCAAAGTAAGACATTTTCCCTAAAGAATCATCAACTAACTTTGGAATATATTAGGTATGCATTGTAAGGTGTGTTGTTTTGCTGATGATTTATTTTGCTTGTACGTATTAGGAAACATGGATTAACAACATAAAACAGAGGGATCAGAAGAGAAAATTATAGTTGTTAATGTTTAGTCCACAAAATGGATGATTCACACATAAAGAATTAACTACAATTATATCCAATATAGTCCTAATATATTACTTTCTTACCAAGTAATATTCTGGCTCTACATAATAGAATTTAAACTAATTGTAAATCAATAATAACTTTTTCTTATGTTAAAAGAGCAATCAAAGTAATAATTGATTCTACTATGTACTGTTAATTTTACTGTAAAATAATTTAAAATGCATTGGTCTAAAAAACAGTCTGCTTATTCTTACCAAACTGTAAATATTTGTGGTATACTTTAAAGGTACACACTTAGCATTCAGTTATTATGAATGAAGAAATTAACCTTGAACTATATAATTCAAGCTCATAATAATATGCTAGGCATCTTCAATTTAAGTGAATATACACAAACTTAATCAACTTATTAGTTTTTGCATTCTGCATTAGAATAAATTTCCTTCAGCTTATTTGCTCATGTATATAAATATATATATATATATATATATTTTTGTGGGGGATGTTTTCTACATCACCTGTTTCACCACTAACCACTCCTATGGCAACCTGCTGTCTGTTCTCCATGTTTATTAGTCTATTTCTGTTTTGTTTTATTTTTAGATTCCACATATAAATGAAATTATATGGTATATCTATCTCTATCAGACTTTTTTCACTTAGCATAATATTCTCTAATTCCATCCATGTTGTCACAAATACCAAATTTCATTCTTTTTTTGTCAGAGAAGTATTCTATCATATATATTATCACAACTTCTTTATCCATTTATCTATTGATGGACACTTAGGTTGCTTCCATAACTTAGCTATTAGAAATAATGTTGCAATAAACATAGGAGTGCATATGTATTTTCTAATTAGTGATTCTGTTTTCTTTGGGTAGATTCCCAGAAATGCAGTTACTGGGTATTACTTTATTTCTGTTTTTAATTTTTTGAGTAACCTCGATACTGTTTTCCATAGTGGTTGCACTAATAATTCATTTCCCAGCAACAGTGCATTAGGTCACCCTTTTCTCAACATGTTCAACAACAATTGTTATTTCTTGTCTTTTGGATAGTAGCCATTCTGACTAGTGTGTGGTGATATCTCATTGTTTTGTTTTATTTTTTTAACTGAAGTATAGTTGATGTACAATTTTATATTGGTTTCAAGGACACAACACAGTGATTAAATAATTACACCATTATTAAATCCTCTCCCCAACTATTACACTTACTATCTCTCAACATA